ATAAAATTAAAATAAATAAATACAAATGCAACTACATGTTGTCTGCAAGAAACTCAGTTCAAATATAATAATGGTATATGTAGAAACACCCCAAGGAAGCTATAAATAAAATAAAACAAGACCCGAGCCCTCCTACATTATATCTAATAAATAGGTTGAGCAAGTTTACAGATTACAAGCCCAGGAAACAAAAGTCAATTTCATCACCATAGACTAGAAATTAACCTAGGAACACTGAGGGAAGCAACATATGACATTTACAAATATAAGTATAAATTTAGGAGGGCAGTGGTGGCTTATACCTTTAATTCCAGCACTCAGGAGAGGCTGGCAGATCTCTGAGTTGGAGACTAGCCTGGTCTACAGAGGGAGTTCCAGGACAGCCAGGGCTACACAGAGAAATCCTGTCTTGCAAAGGAAAGAAAGAAAGAAAGGAAAAAAGTATAAATCTAAAATATTTGTGTAAGACTTGTATGCTGTTAAAAGTACTGCCTTGTATTGAAAGAAAGAAGTAGATAGACTTACTAATGTTCATGGTTTGTGAAACTTAACCTTGAAAATGTCAATTCTGGGCAAATTGATATCCATGTTCAATATATTTCCTGTCAAAATCTCAGCACGAATTTTAAATAGGTATAGACAAAAATTATGTGAACAGGTGAAGGAACTAGAATAGCTGAACCAATCTTGTGAAATATGAAGTGAGTATCAATATATAGAATTTATAGGCTTATTAGGGAACTTCAACAATCAAGACCATGGTATTGCCAATGGTATTCCCAGAGAAGCTAGCACAAACCAATGGGGTAAAATGGCGAACCAGAGACAGACTCATACAGAAAAACCAACCGAATTTTGAGAAAAGTGTAAAAACAATTCGTGGGAAGAAAAATTGTCTCTCGGCTAAAGGTGCAGGAGCTACTGATATATGTGGACCAAAACAAACAAACAAACAAAATCAAAACAAAAAACCCCTCTGAACTAAACCTTAAACATAAAATATAAAACAATATAACCCTGACTATGAATGAATACTCTCAAACACAGGACTAAGCAAAGACTTCTCTTAACACCAAACACATGATCCATTAAAGCAAACACTGAAAATTTGTTTGTGACCCAAATTTAAGCTTTTGCTTTGCAAATGACCTTCTGAAGAGGCTTCAGAGGCAGACTATACGTCAGGAGAGAACACTTGCCAATCACACATCTGACACAGGACTGCATCTAGAATACATCCAGAGCACTCAGAACTCAACTGTTTAAACACACAATAAATAAGACAATGGTCAAAGGGCACAATGAGGCATTTCACTAGGATGTAGAGAAGACAGGCACATGGAAAGGCACCTGGCAACATGAGCTATCAGATAAATGCAGATAAAAAACATAAGACGCACAGAGACAGGCTTAAAAAAAATCGGGGAGGAGAGGGTGGAGAGATGGTTCAGCAGTTAAGAGCGCTGGCTGCTTTTGCAGAGGCCCCGGGCTTGGTTCCTAGCACCCAGATGGTAGTTCACAACCATCTATCTATACTCCAGTTCCAGGAGGCCTAATGCCCTTTTCTGACCTACTTGGGCTCCTGCATTCAATGTGATGTACATTACATACACCCAGCCACACATACATAAAATTAAAAAAAATAAACATTACTTTCATGGAAACAACAGTGATAATGTAAATAGATACACCCACTTTGGAAAACATTTTATCAGCTGTTTAGAAAACTAAGCAAGCTATTCTTTTCCTTTCTTGTTTATTTGGGACAAGGTCTAGCTATGCAGACCGGGCTGATCTCGAACTGAAAGTACTCCCGTGTTAGCAATTCTGTACGCTGGGAGGGTGACTGTGCCTAGCCAGCATTCACAGTAGCTTTATTCTGGGTTAGCTGCAAACTGGAAACCACACAAATGAACTGCCCTTAATCAGGTGAACGGTGCAGTACTGTGATTTGTGGACCATGAAGCCAGATTATCCAGACTGTGCTAAATGGCAAAAGTACTAAAAGTTGCCTCTCTACCTCATGATTCCATTTACAAAACAACCTGAGATGACAAATACATTTTAGAAATGGAGAACAAAGCCAAGGCTGCCAGAGGTTGTGGGGAAAGAGGAAAGGGAAGGGAAGGGAGTGTTGCTCTAAAGGTGGTATGGGGGTCTCAGTGGATGGAAACGCTCTTTCTTGACTGCATACATTCAATGCTGTGCAGGCACCACGGGACACATCTTTTATTCCAGCACTTGGGAGCAGAGACAGGTGGATAGCTATGAGTTCCAAGCCATCCAGAGCTACAGAGTGGGACACTATCAAAAACAACAACAAAACAAACTAAACAAAACAAAACAAAAAAACCCTCCACTATCACTGTGCTGTTGCTCTGTAGTTTTGTAAGAAGCTACCATCAGGGGCAACTGGCTTTGTTTCTCCCCTCCTCTCGCTGGGTCCTACTGTGATGGCTAAGGAAGATCCCATTTTGTCCTGTGCACCCATTCTACAGTCCTAAAAGATAAGTTCCCAGGAACCCCGACTCCTTGCCCTCTCCCCAGAACTGTAAAAGTGCTGTGAGATGACTAACCGCTTGCTCTGGTTTTTGTGAACACACTTACCGATGTGTACCAGGGAGTGAGGCAGCTCCTTTGTCGATGTGTACTGCGGGGAGAGAGACAGCTCCCCACAGCCAAGGGGAGTGAAAGCAGCTTCTCACTCAGCTTCAGTCACTGTGGCGCCCACCTTTAAATGCCCTTCCTCTAGCCCCTTTTGTGTGGCATGCCTTCGATTTGGTTTTAAGGCTGTCAGCCTGCTGGCGGTAACTGTAAATTGATTTAATTACAATTTGGTTCAAACCTATGGTCTTTCCCTGGTGGATTTGAACTCCATGACACCACCATTGCTCTGGATGGTGTGGAACTCATATCCTCTATGGATGGCCAGTCCCACTCCCTGAATAACCAGACTACAGGTGCACCACACCACACCCAGGCCCTAAATCTCTTAACTCTCAGTCTGTGACTAGTTGGGAGCAACTCTACATTTAGGAGAAATCCTGCTGACAGTTCCAGTGATCTCTCTTCTCAAAACTTTCAAACCATTGAGAGTCACAAAACACTGGTGTTGGGAACATTCAAAACAGTGGTTGCCGGATCTGGCCACCCTTCCTTTCAGTAAACCACAGTTGAAGTAAACACTGGTATGTAACTAACAGGCCCAGTCCAGCTTTGAGACCTGACTCCCAGCCCCTCCCTGAGCCTGCTGCCTCTAATCCTGGCCTACCAGAAAATACAAAAACAGCCCCAAGAAGTCATTTAGCCACTCCTTCTATGCTATGTCCAAGCCCTGGAGATCTGCCTAAGGCAGAGAGTGAGCATGGCCTGCACCCAGACTGTCTCTCAGATGGCCTCTTATTTTTCAGGTTAGATTGCAGGCTCTGCTGCAGCCTCACTTCTGAGGATGCCCCCACTAGGCAACAACAGTGGCACCATTCAGTACTGCTATTTTGCAAAGTGGTTGGTCAAGAACAAAGTGCAGTTGTCAGGTGTCAGGCGTAAGACACAGTGGACAGGCTGTAAATTTAGGGCCGGATTCCAGACACTCCACAGCTACATAGCCAGCTGTGCTGGTGGGACCAGGCTCCTGGGGTACCCAGGGAAAGTGGTTTCATGTAGTGTGTGTGTGTGTGTGTGTGTGTGTGTGTGTGTGTGTGTGTGTGTGTTACCTGTCTGGGTGTGTGTGGTGTGTTGTTCATCTCTGTTGTGAATGAAAACTCTCCGAAAGAAACTGCATCTGGCTGTGAAGGAAAACTAAAAAGAATCTGTGTCTGCAGAGATGAGTGGATCAGTATTTCAGTACTGAAGAGAGGTTGAAATGTTGCACGTCCCGAGGGGAATTACCTTATCTTGGGCTAAATTCTGGTCTTCCAGAACAGTCATTCCTTCCTTAACCCTCTTTGTACGAACTAACATCTCCTGACAATAGATAAAAAACCTTTTAGAATCTATTGACTTAACAGGACAACTAGCTTCTACCAATCCAAAAGCTAAGAATGCCGTCAGAGAGCATCTTGAACCTGTAAGAAAACTTCCCCTGTCTCACTGTACCTACTTCGCTGGTGTACCCACTAATGTATTTTAAACTTGCCTGGATTTATGACTTTCTCTGTTCTGTAAAACTATAAAAACTTCCTGAAACTGCTTCCATATTGCAACACGGAATTTGGGTAACCTAAGTCTGTGTTCCCAGGCTATGGCCACTCAAAATGGCTCCAAAATAATCTTATTTCCTTTAAGATGAGAGCTGTGGTTTTTGTGTCTACACTGTGCATGTGGTGTATTGTTTTTAATCTATGTGCATAGTATGTAGGAAGTGTGAGTCCATGCTGTTGTGTGTCTAAATTAATGTAGTAACTGTGACATTCATGTGTGCCCCTGTGTGCAGCTAGCATTTGGGGGAAGGATTCTGAGGATGTGTTCTTGTGTCTATTTGGGTGTGCCTGCACCTGTGCTATGTGAATGTGGGTCTCTCTCGAGTGCATTCAGTACCTGTGAGCATGTTTCTGCTCTGGGTACCTGTGTGTGGATCAGTGCTCTCGTCTGTGCTCCTGGGCTGGAGGAGCCCCGTGACAGTCCCCATGTGGCTGCCGCGTAGGGCCGGGGAAGAGCGCGTGGCAGGTCGGCGGGCGGTGCCCCGCTCCTCCCCGGGGGCCGGGCACACGTGGGCCCCCGGCGCCGCCTCCCCGCGCGTCCCCACCCAGCGGGCCGCCCCCGCCGCCGCCGAGCGGCTGGGGATAAAGTGGCGGCGCAGACGCCGCGCCCTATCGCCGCAGCCGGCCACGCGCAGTAGTCTGGCTCTAGCCCTCCGCAGACCCGGACCCGCGTGGTGCTCGGGGGACGTGACAGCGGCGCTCGTGGCCCGGGTAACTGCCTCCCGCCCCTGCCTCAGGATAGGAGCCACCGCCAGGGGTCCCCTGCGCGCGTGTGCGTGCGCACGAGTGTGCGCGCGTGTCAGCGTGAGCGCGCCCCTCGCGCCCTCGCACCAACCCCCAAACCGACTTGTGCCGTCAACTGAATCTTCCCAGCCCGGTGTGGGGACACGGGCCAAGTCCTCGCTGTGTGTGGCGTGCCGATGACAGCCGCGGGGCTTCTTTCCCCAAGCAGTCTCGGGCGGGCAGGAGGCAAAGTTTGTCGGAGAATCGGGGTGACTTTGCTCGGGGACCCGCATCTGCGCGAATGCGCGGTGCCGCGGAGCGCGTCTCGCAGCAGCTCCGGGCTGGGAACCGGCTATCCCTCGCTCCCGGAACCCCTTCAGGGGTGTGTTCTAGAAAAGTGGTGACTTGAACTAGAGCTGGAGCGGCAGGAGGGAGCTGCTCGCACCCCTGCAGCCCAGGCGGGGAGGGCGCAGACCCCGCGGTGCTGCCCTGCGGCCGCGATGAGGGAACAGCCCTCGTTTGCCTGGCGCTGATACTCGAGGCTGTGGCGGTAGTGGAATGTGAAAGCCAGGACGGAATGGAAACAGGTTTGTCATGGCATCTTTGGCATTCAGAAGGGAGAAATCGCTCGGGGCTCATCACTTACTTATTATGGCCCCTAGAATCCACTCAGTGGAGATTTTAGGAGAGATGGGTCCCTGCAGCTGGGGCTTTGTACCCACGGAACTGACTGTAATTTCCGCTTGATTACATACAGCTAAAACAGTCTTTAAGATGAAGTTTCCTGAGATGATTTAAAATAAACACAGATGGGAGGGGGCTGTAATGAGGCACTTAAAAAAAAAAGGACTTAAGGACAAGCATGAGTTTACAGACAAGGAGAGGTTTGCAAGAGATATATGTAATTTTAAATATATATGTCAAATTGAGGTGATTTTTTGTTGTTGTTTTGTTTTTTTAACTGCTTAGAAAAAAAAAGTCACTGTCCTGACCCTGAACAAGGCTTACTTTCCTCCGCAGTGGACATGAGTGAGTTTCTGACTTTAGAATATGTCCACCTTTCTTCCAAGGGCCAGAAGATCTCTTAAGGATGCCTGAGGCAAGTTCTCCCAGGCGAACTCCCCAGAATGTTCCCTACCAGGACCTGCCTCACCTGGTCAACGCAGACGGACAGTACCTCTTTTGTAGGTACTGGAAGCCCACTGGCACACCCAAGTAAGTGCTCTCCCTGTGCCGCCTCCTTCGTGGCACCTGCTTCTCTTCCCCCTGGCACAGTGGTGGTAGCGGAGTTGAGAGGTGTACTTAACACAGGATTTCCTTAAGAATGAGGGATCAAGAGCTCTCTTTTCACTACAACTAGGATAGGGTTTTACTGTCTTTTTAGAGACTCACGTGACTTTTTTCTTTTCTTTTTTCTGGTACCAGAATTAATTTCCTGTTGGAATCATTCATTCAAAAGCAAACTTAACTATTAAAGAAAAAAATGGGCTCAGTTCATAAGAAAACTAAAATCATGTGTGTGTATGTACCTTTTAACCTTTCCTGTCTATTCCTGTTTAACCCTGATGCCCCGCTGCTGGGGTGAGAGGGGTCTGGTGTTTTTTTTTTTTTTTTCTTCTGGCTCCTTGCTAGCTCAATCACCCTGTCCCTTCCCCACCTGAATCTAGAATTTGCCTTGCTGTTAGAAATGGGCTGGGGCTGGGGCTGGGCCTATCCAGACAGCTGCTCTCTTACCATTCTGTTCCCTCTGGGTGAAGAGCGTGCTGGGAGCCCTGCTTGTTGGTGTTATTCAGGGAAGAGAGTATTTGTGGCAGCCTTGGCCTGGTGAAGTCACCGTTCCTGTTCCCTGTCTTAGAGGAGGCTAACCTGTCCCATGGGCCTTTGTCTCCCAGGGTCCTGGTGGGTATGGGTTGTGTTTCCCACTGGGGCTCTGGGGTTACCTAGTTGAGTTGACTTTCTCAACCAGGTGTGTGCAATCCAGCAGGCTTTCTGCTAACAACATGGAGGTAGCGGCTGTTTATACCATAGCTTCGGGGCAGCTGCACCGCTCCTGCTGTCTCCAGTGTGTTACCACAGTGGGCAGTGGTGCACAGGCTGGTGATGCTTCGCCAGTTCTTAAAGATGAGCTGTAGAGGAGTGTGTGCAGGTGTGTGGAGTGTGGAGTGTCGATCCCCTCATTAATCATTAATCCTCACTCTGACTTACCCAGGACTAGCACCGGACATTATTTTTACTTTCTAACAAGTCCTTATACAGTGAGCAGTTTAATCACTACAGGAGGGGAAATGGAATGAAAGTCCGTTGTTGATGTCCAGCCTGAGCCTTTGGAGGCTTTGTTGGTGGAGTAGTGACAGTGCCCTAGTTCACAGTAGAACACAGAGGGCCTGCAGTCTCCATCGGGGGAAGGGAGATGGTGGACTGGGCCAGGAATGGCCAAGTTGGCTGCCCTCGCCTTGGCTGTGGGTGGTTTTCACAATCTCCCAGCTCACTTGCTTTTGCTCTAGTTAGAGACAGCAGCCCAACATCTTGGCTTCAACTGAACTGGCTCTTGGAAGTCAGCATCTGCCTTGTGATAGATGCAATGGGCATAGGAATGGAGCTGGACAGCGGCAGCTGCTGGGCTCAAGATTTGGAAGAAATGTGCGCCCAGAAAAAAACCAAGTTAAAGGGCAGGAGGCATGAACTAGAGAAAGTCGCAGAACCAATAGCATTTGTGGCTTGGCCATTTCCTATACTGTTAGCTCTGTGTTGTAAGAGAGGATAGACAGGTCCCGGGTTCTGCCATGGTTTCAAAAATAAACTAGGTAGTTGTCTCTGGATCCCACTGTCTGCCTGGCCTGCCACCACCTCCCAGAGAGAATCCAGTTGGTAAACTACCTTTGGGATTGGGGACTGCCTCTGATGGAGCCAGTCTTGGGAACATTTCATAACCAGCTCAGACAAATTGAGACAACACTGTCCTGGAAGGCTCATTTGGAGAGAGCTATACATCCTTGTAGTTGATGGGCCTTCGAGAGGTCTTAATGGCTCCTTAGAAAGTGTCCTAGCAGCCATCGTGGTGGAATGGCAGTGGGACTTAGGGCAGGGGACTGTGCCAGCTGGTAGCCAGGGGTCTCCAGGTCTCAATCACAGGAGACAAGCTTTTGTCTCTCATATTCTGAGAGATCCCAAAAATGCCATTGCCCACATAGCGTCGTCCATTTGTTGTCAGGGAGAGAGAGTACCTTTCCTGTCCTCATTGCAAGTTGGGCCTCCCCTTGTATAACATGCCTCCACCCAGTCAGAAAGAAAGAGAAAGACAAGGAGGCCGAACCTTCATGCCTGTCCCACTGACCACATGATGTGCAGCCATTTCTTCGTTACTTTGAGCCTCAGATGCCTGCTCACTGGAACCCTGGGGTCTGTCTCTGTGACTTGTCATTTGTTAGGTTGCTTTTTACGGTCAGCTTGTTGTCCTCCTATCCCCTTCCCAGAGCACCTGAGATCTGGAGGATTGGCTCTGCAGGTGCCCAGGCAACAAAGTTACAGGAGTCTGCTGGTGACAAGCTGGCAAACCAGCCCAACCTGCTTCTGGACGCTGGGTAAAACTCCCTGAGGAACAGGAGAGCTAGCTGCTCTTGAGATAGTTGTATAGCGGAAGCGGAAGGGATTATATCTTTACAAATGGTAAACTCCCCAGACCCTAAGGAAGAAGAGAGCATTCCTGGAATAGCTGTTGCAGTATGAACATGCAAACATACTGTTTTCAATATGGTGGTCTAGAGTCTTGGGTTCAGTTAAGAATTACTCCCTTTGGTCACATCAAGGTAGGTCTTACTCATCCAGATGTATTTACAGTCATGAAAATACTGTGTTACTTACTGTGGATCTTATTTTTGTGGAGGACCTACCTAGTACGGTTCAGAGATTGGTCTAGGCCCTGTCCATACCTGATCTCTTCAATGTCCACACCAATCCAAAGGGAAACAGTGTGGTTGCTACTGTGGCTGCTTTCCCAGGAAGGAGCCAAGATAGAGAGTTATAAAGCATTTAGCAGCCTGGGGAAATGATGCAGTCAATAAAGTGCTTGCTGTGCAATCGTGAGTGAAGATCTGGGTTCTGGGAGCGGTGCTGTGACCATGCAGTTGTATCTCTAGTGCCGGGGAGACAGGCAAGTCAGCCTTGACCTGTGCACCGTGCCGCGGGTCCCAGTGAGAGGCCGTGTCTCAAAAACCAAGATGGACAGCTTCCAAGGCTGACCTCTGTCTTCTACACACACACACACACACACACACACACACACACACACACACACACACACACAGTGCTGTGAATGCCCTTTGCTGGGTTGCTCCAGACTCTTCAGATCCTGTGTCAGTTACTCTCCTAGACCACCATCAGTCATGGCCAACGTTGTCCTTCCAGGTAGTGCTGCCTTAATTAATTCTTACAATTGGGGTTAGGATGAAGATCACTTCATAGATGTAAAGTAATCCACCACCACTATTTACATATCAAAAGTGGAGAAAGAGGAGAAAAAAGCGCTCATGCTGTCCCAGGTGACAAGCTGCCTCACAGCGGACTCCATGCTCTTCAACTTCTGGTTCTTTGGCATGCTTCCTCTGATGGGCAGGTTCATAGACACTGGCCTGAGGATGGGGTCAAGAGGCCATGAGTTCTCCTGAACTAGGCATCTGCGGCTGCTCCATGCCCTGGGGTTACCTTTTTGTTCCTTTCACCAAGTGGTCCTCAGTTCCTACAAAGTTCAACTTTGAATCAGGAGTGAGAGTCACATAGCTGTTCTCCAAGAACAGTGATTGCTCTGGGTGGGGATTCAGTTGTTCTGAGAACAATGCTGATTTGGTGATGGAGAAGCCCCTAAAGTGCCCATCTGCTCCATGTGTCTGAGGCTGGAGTGTACTCTGTAATTACAGGATTACCCAGCTCTGCCCCGGCCTGCTGGCTCCAGGCAGGAGTGCCTCTCTTCACCTGCCTGGAGCAGAGGCTAAGTGGACAGGGCTGAGCCAGGCCCCAGCGCTCTCTTCTCCAGCCTGATGGCCTCCTTGTGTACCATGCACTTGGTCTCTGGGTTTTCTGTGGCCACTGTGACTCTAATTAAGGGAGCCTCTGCATGTGACCACTCTAGCCCCAGATGTCCTGAGGCACATGGATCAGTGGGCTGGCCTGCCTGCGTCTGGCTGGGAAGCCAAACCTTGGATTTTGTAAGAGCTGAATCTTTCTATTGCTATCAGTAGTGGTTGCCCGCGCTTCTCAGACTCCAGGACCCAAGCCTCCCAGTTCCAGTGGCCTTGCTAGATGTGCCCTTCCCCCATGGTGCTTCTCTGGCTTCCCAGTGAGGCCAGGCTCAGACTGTGTGCTACCTGCACCATTGTCTAGATTTTTCTATGTTGAGATGGAGTGTAGGGTGGGTCTGTGAGGGGGTGTGCATGGGTGATGGATGACAAGGGTGATGTTTGTTCATGACCTGTGTTTGTGAGCCATGCTTGTTGCTGGCTCTGTGGTAAGCTGGAGCTCAATTGCTTGCTGTTCTTCTCCAGCTCCCTAGGGTGGGGTTCTACTGAGGGACCTCTGTGCCCCCTTTCCTGGACACCCTGGCTCCTCCTTTATCTGCCTTCCCTCTCCATTTGGAATGTTACCGAGTGCCAACCTGAAACGTTTCCTCCCACTTATGCAAATTTATCTGGAGAAGAAGCCACTTGCTAGAAGCTTGTTCAGATGTCACAGTCCTTCCTCCCGCCTGCCCCATAACACCCTCCTCACACTGGTATGTGGCTATCAAGGATGAGGGTCCCTTCCAGCCATCTGGAGATAGATGGGGAGATGAAGAATTGGAATGACTACACTGTCCACCACTTCTGCCTTGTAGAAATTCTGTTCCCAGAGGTCAGTCTTCTCTCCCTTTGCGGTTTCCAAGCAGGATGTAGGCCAGGTCTTCACCCCTTTCTTGTCTCCCTGTTTTCTTGTTGTGTTCAGGGCATCTGCTGGCAGATGTGTTTAATGTCTTCATCTCCTTGCATCCCTTCTGAACTCAGGCCACCTGGGGCTAGGCATCACCACTCCACCCTCTTTCTTAGCTTACATCTACCTGGGGTGTCTTCACACTGCGAGTCTGTGATACTTTCTGGCGACTTCCATAAGAATCAAGATGGCCAGGTTTCCATAGTTCAGCTCTGGCACGTTAGTTCTGTGATGAACATTAGTTGCTCAGGCTTGCA